CCACGGTTGTTCCGGCAATATGTTTATAATGATTACGTGTTGTGCTTGTTATTCTGACTTTTTCTTGCATAATGTGCTGCACATTTGTGTAAACTACCTCAAGCATAATGGTACAACCATTTATGAATAAAGGTTTTGAATATGAATTTGAATTCCAAACGTCGATAATTTATTATCTCTCGGGAGGTGGGGGTGAAGAATGTGAGCTACTGCGTGGTGCCGCCTGGGGCTCCTACACACACCTGCGGGATATGTGTACCCTGAGGTACTCTTCAGTTCTCAGTGTATGTACACCCTGAGGTACTCTCCAGTTCTCAGTGTATGTACACCCTGAGGTACTCTCCAGTTGTCAGTGTATGTACACCCTGAGGTACTCTCCAGTTCTCAGTGTATGTACACCCTGAGGTACTCTCCAGTTGTCAGTGTATGTACACCCTGAGGTACTCTCCAGTTCTCAGTGTATGTACACCCTGAGGTACTCTCCAGTTCTCAGTGTATGTACACCCTGAGGTACTCTCCAGTTCTCAGTGTATGTACACCCTGAGGTACTCTCCAGTTCTCAGTGTATGTACACCCTGAGGTACTCTCCAGTTGTCAGTGTATGTACACCCTGAGGTACTCTCCAGTTGTCAGTGTATGTACACCCTGAGGTACTCTCCAGTTCTCAGTGTATGTACACCCTGAGGTACTCTCCAGTTCTCAGTGTATGTACACCCTGAGGTACTCTCCAGTTCTCAATGTATGTACACCCTGAGGTACTCTCCAGTTCTCAATGTATGTACACCCTGAGGTACTCTCCAGTTCTCAGTGTATGTACACCCTGAGGTACTCTCCAGTTCTCAGTGTATGTACACCCTGAGGTACTCTCCAGTTGTCAGTGTATGTACACCCTGAGGTACTCTCCAGTTGTCAGTGTATGTACACCCTGAGGTACTCTCCAGTTGTCAGTGTATGTACACCCTGAGGTACTCTCCAGTTGTCAGTGTATGTACACCCTGAGGTACTCTCCAGTTCTCAGTGTATGTACACCCTGAGGTACTCTCCAGTTCTCAGTGTATGTACACCCTGAGGTACTCTCCAGTTCTCAATGTATGTACACCCTGAGGTACTCTCCAGTTCTCAATGTATGTACACCCTGAGGTACTCTCCAGTTCTCAGTGTATGTACACCCTGAGGTACTCTCCAGTTCTCAGTGTATGTACACCCTGAGGTACTCTCCAGTTCTCAGTGTATGTACACTATAGGTTGATTTTTTCTTTAACTGTTTTCTATAAGCTCCCTGAATGCTGTCACCTTCCTGAATGTTGACGCCTTCATAAATGTTGAAGTCTTCCTGAATGATGGCACCTTTCTAAACGCTTTTTGCTGCACGAAAATGTTCCACAGGTTCCGTCTGTGTCCCGCGGCCTGGAACACTCTCTCACGTCCTTCCCTCCAACTCCAGACAAGAAGATGATCAGGCTACACTCTGGAAGGAGCGGGAAGACGTTGATGACCAAATTTTCAGGAATTTGGAAAGTGCTTATATAGTCTTGATGAAGTAGGAGGCTTTTATTTCACACGAGATGTTCCCACTTTTATGCATAACTAGATGGGGTATCCGGCGGTACCCGGGTTTCTCTTCCCCCTGCCCCATCTCCCCACCCCTCTCTCTCACCACACTTCCCTTCCCCACTATCCCATCTCGCCGACCATTCCTCTCATTACCCGTCTTCTCTCTCCTCACTTCTCTCCCCCATCCAGCCCTTTTCTCCTCCCCACTCTCTCCCTTTCTCCCCTTTCACTCCCTTTCTCCCTTTTCTCCCTCTCCCTCCTTCTTTGCTCTTCTCCGCCAATCCGAAGGATTTAATTGATGAGAACAATGCAAGTTGTTCTTATTAAATGCAGGATAGGTTTCGTAAGTGTGGCAACAGAGCAAAATAGAATATCACACGTTGACTTTTCAGGAAAAGAAAAGTAAGTACATCAGAGTACACCTGAAGTATGGAAAAGCTTCAGGCACCGACGCAGAAAATATTATTAAAGTAAAGAGAAGTGGGTGAAGATGGCTCTGTGCCAGAGGACTGCAAGAGCCGTGACTGTACCTTCACAGATTTATACTGTAGAGTACAACTGTGACTGTAGTAAATGTAAAGACAATAGAGGCATTAGTTTCCTAAGTGAAGTAGGTAAAGTGTTTGGCAAAATAGTAATTGAAGTGTACATTGTTACTGAGAATTTAGGTAAGAGGTAAACAACAGCAGGTTATGCAGGCAAGTCAGTGTAAACTTCCATAGCCTCCCCCCCCCATGCCGGGGTATCATAAGCAAATTAAATTATATGTAATTAGTTCACCGTAAATGTAAGTTGCTTAGTTTAGAAGTTGTTGTGGTCCAATTATCGAACGTAATGCTGATATATACATTAAAATTAGTATCTGTGTTTTCAAGACTGGAACTTGTTTAGCCAAAAAAAAATTAGGGTTCCGTTTTCGCGCCCATTTACCTCATTTAAGATTACCTAATCTTTGCGCCTACAGATTACCTCTGTAATCTTTCTCGTTGCCACTCACAGGATGGGTATGGGGTACATAATAAATAACATTCTAAAATTGATTAACAAGGATTCTAAGAATTAGCTATGTCTACATAACAAAACACAATGCCAGTATTTTGTTGACGGTGAGAACAGGGTCTGCCTTCCTTAGAAGCCAATTAGTCCTATCTATAATTCATCTGACTAACGATGTATGAGTAAATAATACCCACATTAACAGTCGTAGATTATAATAAAATAGGCATTCATTCAGATGGCCTCAAATGTACCATTATCCCGGTTCATCATCTCCCTACAACGGACACTTATGACAGAGTGTTTTCCTCTGATCATTTACCAAGTACTGTATTAGTATGGTAATTGATAGGCTGATTAGTATGGTGTTGGTATTGATAGGCTTCAGGTCTATCAGGCCTAACTCTGGAGGGTTATGAAGTCAATAAGAACTTACTGACCAACAAGTAAGTATACTTTAATCCAGAGCATAGTCCAGGACTAACGTATACTCTCATTATATATACATCGATAAATGTGGTTCAGCTGTGGGTGTACACATTCTTGCCGGTACCAGGTATCATTGCCATCTACCACCAGCAGGAAGGCTCCTGCTGGTGTAATGGCAAACTACAATATTCTACGTAGTAAAACAGCTGACAGGTTAGCAAATCTCCACATTTCATAATTTGAAATACAGTAAATGTATATTGCTTTTGAATTTGTTATCTTAGTTTATCTTGTTTGATTTATATACCAAAATTATTATATGTAGCCTAATAGAGATAAATATAGTTAAATAATTTTAACTTCTGATTCACACTACACAAAGGATGGATGTGGGGTCCACGGCCGCCCACAGGATTGGTATGGTGTCCACCACCGGCCACAGAGTGGGGTATGAGCACCACCTTCACCCACAAAATGACTAGGCTCCACCACCGCCCACTTTTATTATTAACATCTTTATTGACAAAATTAATTACAATTTTGCCTAATCTGAGGATTTTGATAGTCTTATTAAATTGAGGATAATGCTAGTATTCACTGTCACGCAGGACAGAGGGTCATACATAAGACAATAGGTCTAAACTGTAGGCTGAAGCACATATATATCATGGTTACAATCAATGTTTTAATGTATGGATATGTGAAAACAACTTTCTATTGTGCACTGCCACCCAAGGGCAGGGATGGGTTCATAAGTGATGCAGCTTAGAAGTAATATAAATAAAAATTGTTCTTCATTCTTTAAAATGGACAAGCAAATTTTGGGTAAATTGTTAGGATGTCGTCCAGAACACCTGAGTCAATAAAATAGTTACACAGTTGGTGGTACAAGAGGCCAGGAGATCTAAAGTCCTCTACGGTTTCACATTCATCAATATAGTGTTCTAGTGAATGCATTAAAGGTTTATCACAGAGTTTACAATCTGAGTATTCTGGTAGTGGCTCAGCCTCACTAACCTGCCAGATGTGTCTATAGCCAAGGCGAATTCGCGCAATGACTACATCACATTGCCTGGTCCGGTTACTGTGCTGACCATACAAATACCTATTATTACAAAACTTGTCCCCACTGAACTAATTAAACTAAACTCTGCCAACATTGTTTACGTTCGTGGAGAATAACAGAATTGCCACAACAAATCATATTTTCTATATACTCATATTACAATGGATTCTGTTTTAATGTAGAATTAAAAATACCCATAAAGTTTATTAATGAAATCTAGTCTTCATATAAATGAAGACTAGATTTTCAAATTTTAGTGAACATCAAGACTGCCAATTCCTGAAAAAAAAGAAAACTACTAATATTTCCCCCCACCTCCAGGCGGCTAAAGCACGATAGCCACTGCTGTTTTCTACGATTAAGATCCCAGTTTGATGACACCTTCTAGTAGTTAGTGTTTTCATTTCAAATTTAAAGACTGCATCAATAGAAGTTCAACCGGAATTTATCCTTCATTTATCAACTGTCCGATGATATTCATTTTTCTCAATTCTAAACCAGAAAACAATGGATTTTGAATAATATATAATCAATGGTACCTAGTGGATGTTACCAACAATTTTCAAAATAGGCTACAACAATGTCTGCAATTTTATTATATAACTATTAGATATTTCCTTCGTTTCGGAAGATAAATTGTACACAACTTTTAAAAACAATACAACTATTCGAATTATTATTAAAAACCTTATTAAAAATCGTATAATGTGTTTTAAGGACGTAGCAAGAAGACTTAAGAGGTAGTAGCAGCAGGGAAGGAGAGTAGAGGTAGCAAGATGCAGCAGGAAGGCAGCGACCCATGGCGGTGGTGGAGTCTTCTTTCTAGCGTTTTTACCACGCCCGAACACAGAGAACATCACAAAACGATAATTATGCCGGTGTAAAACCTTGGGCTGTAGCTGGTGGGAGCCGGAGAAGGGAGAGCACGAAGGTCAGGCCAGCGTATATAATCCAGGTGAAGCCGGGTCCTCTTCAGTGACTTCGGCAGGAGTCTTTGGTGAGCACACAAAGCGGGTGAGGAGCAGTCATGGGAATAGCGGTGAGTTGCAGCATATACAGTAGGCATGTTGGGGAGGGGTGTGAGGGAGTGTGGATGTACTCTAACAGGTGTAAAAAGTTATTTCTCTTAATTTGAATATAGTGCTTTAATTTTAGAAAAATATAAGTACCAACATTTTAATAAAATTGAGTCAGTGATTAATTTCTAAGAATTGCAAATGATCGTTCTTAAAGATTTTACAACTCTATCTTATAACGCAGCATTGTAGCAAGTGCTGGATAAACCAAACTTTGTGAAGTCCTGCGCGGCTCTGCTGTATTGCTCTCAATTGCTTGTTGCTCTGCAGGTGGCTGTTGTAGCGTGCCTATTGGCGGCGGTGCTTGCACAGGAGCAGCACCCTGTGGTGGAGAGGGAGCCAATATCACCTGTGGTGCTGAGGGATCTGCCCCGCCCCTGGATACTGGGAGATCCGTCTCGTCCTTCTCTAGTAGTGAAGGGGGAGGTACCCCGTCCATGGATCCTGGGGGATCTATCTCGTCATTCTCCCATAGTGAAGGAGGAGATGACCCGCCCTTGGGTCCTAGGGGACTTTTCTCGTCGTCCTCTAGTGCTGAAGGAGGAGATACCTCGCCCTTGGATCATGGGAGACCTGTCCCGCTCTCATATAACGGAGAAGGTGGAGGAAAATGACGTAAATCGACCCTGGGTGCTGCGGGAGATGTCTCGACACTACCACCCATACCGTTACTACCCTTTCTACCCCTACCAATATAAACAGCTCCGCACCAAGCCCGAGGACGGCAAGGGGGTGGCGCTGCACCCCGGGGGCTCCACCTCTTACGTCTTCCCGCAAGTGCATGGCGTAGGCAAACGATCTGCTAAACCCACAGCCCAGGCAGCGGCAAACCCAGACTTTGCTTATGGCTACCACACAGGCGACTACTTTCCCTACCGTCACTATGGCTTATATAACTTCCCCTACCAAAACTACGTTTACCACCGTCAACTCAATAAGCGATCTGTCGGGCCACAGTACAGCTACAGCTACCCTAGCAAGCGCCCCCAGGATGGCAACGTTGGCTACAACTTCAGATGGTGACTTGGCTCAGGAGTGACGGGGAAGCTATCATCTACCCCGTCAGCCGTTTGCGTCACCGTTCCCATCAACCGTCTACGTCCCCGTCTCCGTCAGCCGTCTGCTTTACCACCTCGCCGCACCGGAGTCTGATAGGCCAACACTGCTCACATTGGTTTTTCAGATTCCAAACATTTATTCAATACAGGACAAAGTATACAATAAAAATACATCAGTGTAAGAGTCTTTAAAGCTGTATTCATATTCCCCACCATCTTCTGAAGCTGTTTCTGAGGTAGAGTTTCCAGTACGCAAGACTTCTTAATGTGTTTTTTGTGGTAAAGTTTGTTAGTGTTAGCTGGAAACTTTCTGAAAGTATCTGCGGCATCAATGAGGAAATATAACTGTGGGAAAATATATTCTCGCCATTATACGCCATAGAATATTTCCGGCTAAACCTGTCTTAGAGGTCAAGTAGTACAGTGGTCTACGCACTTGGCTCACACCTAAAGGATCCGGGTTCAATCCCCGAGCACGAGAGAATCGGCTGTGAATATTTTTCTTTCACCTGGTACTTCTGTTCGCCTAGCAGCAAATTTAGACACCCGGGAGTAAGGCAATTATCGTGGACTGCATGCTAAGAGAGGTCAGTAGTTGGCCTAAACGAGGGGGGGGGGATGAACTCTGCTCCTTCAGTAAGTCTAAGTCGGACTTGGTGTCCCCGACACTGATTGAGTTCCTGCATTGTGTGAATGACAGCGATTCCTTTTTGAAAGCTTATAACGAAAGAAAAATTGTCCACTTAAAAGAGCAAAATCGTGTTGAAGAAAAATTGCAATAATATAAAAACAAAGTTACGTAGATGGTTCTCGAGTAACTGTAAACCAGAGGTGTCGGGGCACACTCTAGAAGGTGGTTGGCTGAAGGATGGCTATGTAACGGAAAACTTGGTTTACTGTGTAACTCAGAAGAAGCCACGATGAGTATGTTGAGTGACTGTACATGAAGAGGTGTTTACTGCTAATGAGGTCTCTGAGACCAGGAATGGTTGGAGATATAAAAGGACTTCCTGTGAGAGATCTAAACAATTTCCTTTTCCTTCATATAACATCTCCTTCCCTGAAAAACTATATCTCTTAAAAATCTGCATATTTTCACCTCTGGGAGCATGCAGACTCCACCCATGTTCTTCGCCAGACAGTCTAATTACACTCTTGATGGGTCTTTATGATTCTTTGTTTCAGATTTCCTGTAATTTACTCATTATAGCTCACTTTTGTTACCCTTTTTCGTTCTTGAGTCGTGGTGGTGGTGTAGGTGTTGTACCTGGGTGGTGTAGAGGTGCTGTACCTGGGTGGTGTAGGTGCTGTACCTGGGTGGTGTAGGTGCTGTACCTGGGTGGTGTAGAGGTGTTGTACCTGGGTGGTGTAGAGGTGCTGTACCTGGGTGGTGTAGAGGTGCTGTACCTGGGTGGTGTAGAGGTGCTGTTCCTGGGTGGTGTTGAGGTGTTGTACCTGGGTGGTGTAGAGGTGCTGTACCTGGGTGGTGTAGAGGTGCTGTACCTGGGTGGTGTAGAGGTGCTGTACCTGGGTGGTGTAGAGGTGCTGTACCTGGGTGGTGTAGAGGTGCTGTACCTGGGTGGTGTAGAGGTGCTGTACCTGGGTGGTGTAGAGGTGCTGTACCTGGGTGGTGTAGAGGTGCTGTACCTGGGTGGTGTAGAGGTGCTGTACCTGGGTGGTGTAGGTGCTGTACCTGGGTGGTGTAGAGGTGCTGTACCTGGGTGGTGTAGAGGTGCTGTACCTGGGTGGTGTAGAGGTGCTGTACCTGGGTGGTGTAGAGGTGCTGTACCTGGGTGGTGTAGAGGTGCTGTACCTGGGTGGTGTAGAGGTGCTGTACCTGGGTGGTGTAGAGGTGCTGTACCTGGGTGGTGTAGAGGTGCTGTACCTGGGTGGTGTAGAGGTGCTGTACCTGGGTGGTGTAGAGGTGCTGTACCTGGGTGGTGTAGAGGTGCTGTACCTGGGTGGTGTAGGTGTTGTACCTGGGTGGTGTAGGTGCTGTACCTGAGTGGTGTAGGTGATGTACCTGGGCAGTATAATTTTGCGTTAAAAGTATCACTGTTTTTAACGCAAAATTATATTCATTACAAATTTGTACTGCAAGTTTAGCAAGGCATTATTATGGACAGGAAGATTTATATGAATAGGATCCATTTGACTATAATCAATTATAGTTAAATTAATCTAACCTTAGAAACAAGTATGTTATATTCTCATTTTAAGCCTTAAGCCGTTTGGAATTAGTAATGCGCACAAAGAAGTAAAGGATAGGCTACCTACAGCAGTGTGCTCCAATAGTATTGATGAGTGATATCAATCAGCAAATATTTTTCATTCCTCTATGTTTGGGTGTCGACGGAGTGAGAGACACTGGCAGCGGTCCGCACTCCTGGTAGCGTGCTGGAAACCGTTAGAATGTGATGAGTCTGCCATGTACGTTGCTCTCAGTTTCTAGACCGTGTCCATAATATTAGTTAGTAGCGAGCCAAGCATAAAGTTGGTGCACTTGTGCTATAATTATTCAGGTACAATAACTTAATTACCAAAGAATCGAAACACGTGATTAAATTTCCAGCGTGAGCGAGTGCTCGCGGATGTCATTCATGCCCCCGCCCACACGTGACGTCAGTCATCAAGGACCCCACGCCGCTCCTCCATGCGCACCTCACCAACAGCAGCCCATACTCGGCTACCGTAAGGTGTCTAACCTTGTGGTAGCAAGCAGCCTCAGTAGGCCATATATCCCCGCCCCTAGCTAACGTGACGCCCTCCTGGCCTCCACGCCGCTCCTCTGCACCGCACCTCACCAACAGCACTCCATAAGGCTCCACCAGCCGCCCTACTTCGTTCTCTCAAACTGTCAGGGAGATTTAACAGGTAACGTTTTCTCTAATATCCGATCAAATTTAAGGGTGAACCTCGCTAACAATTTTAAAAACTTTTACCCATTTTTTTCTGATGTACATTTAAGATCTACATTATTAATATATTTTCTACAATTTGTTTTAATTGCAACTTGTGTGTTTGGTAATTACCTGCATTTCTGTTATAATATACCCGACTTCAGGAATAAGGCAGATGGTGTGATTTGCATCCTTTGTGTTAAATGTTTATCTAGCTGTTTAGTTTATTATATTGTTACGTTAATTTTAAACATGATTCGTTTCAACTTTTAAATTCTCTTATAAACAACTTTATGGAATTTGGTAACAAGAAGCCTGTTATGATTATCGAGGTTCCCCTAGGTCAATTATACTGACTTTCCCCAGAATGCAACCCACAATAGTTGCTTTACTTCCGTGTACCTATTTACTGATAGGTGAACAGAGGTATCAGACGAAAGAAAACGTTGCACAAATGTCTACCATATCTCAGTAACAGTTACTTAGTTTAGTTCATTTATTATGCACCCCATACCCATGTTGTGGGAGGTAGTGGAAAGGGTTACAGAGGCACATAATGGGCTCAGGGACCGAACCCCACAATTCATTTAGCTAAGCAAGTTACAATCTTGATGAGCTAGTTACAAAATTCAGTATAAGTCGTCACATCAACAATGGGTTCGAGATCGACCTCAAGTACAGGTTCTAAATTAAGCAACTGACATATGTGGAGAGCTAGTGTCAAAATTTATGTTTGTCCTGCACACCGCCCCCCCCATCCAGTGGACAGCGATGGATAGGTTACAATCACTCAGTTACTACCTACAGTTATTGTAACCTATCCACCGCTGCCCACTGGATGGGGGCGGTGTGCAAAGAACCCTGGACCTTTCAGCTGTTATTCGACTTTATTATGTTATTCGACAGCTATTCGGTTCACCACATAATACGTCATCCAAATTTATATCGTATCCAATAAATATGCATACTAATAGCGGAAGGGACAGAAATGCTTGGGAGCATTACTATCACCTAATGCACCTATTCACCTAGTAGAAATACTGTATAGATACCCAGGAGTTAGCTTGTTGTTGGGTTGCATCCTAGGGAAGGTCAGTAGTTCGACCTCTGGGGGGGGACCTAGATGTAAGCTTAACATGTATATATACACTGGCTGCCTGTCCCCCGACACAAGGAATTAATATGTAATAATAAAACTATCATTATATATATTTAATGAAAAAGGGCTCTGAATATAAATAGTTTAGGCTAAATTAACGTTTTCTGTAAAATATCCATTTTCTGTTATGGTTTCCTAATGGGAGTACCTCCAGCATTTCAACCCAAATGTATTATCTGATTTACCTCAAGACAACAATCTCCATCGCGGCCTCGACGTGGATAGGAAGTTGGCGACTTGTTAAAGGTACCCCATTGTTAGTGAAGATTTTTCTATCCGAGTTTTAGTTCTTCGGACGGTAGGCGGGTCCTTGGGTTTATAACCCTATTGGTGAAAAGCATCTGCTTCCTCCAATATTGTGGTGTGTAGAGCTTGAAGCTGTTTCCTATTGTATGTGGTGCATTTGGACTGTTAAAGAAGTGGCTATCTGTTCAATTAGTGGTTGGGCACCATTCCTTTCCACCCGTCCCATCCCAAATACTTATCCTGATCCTTTCCCAGTGCTACACAGTCGTAATAGCTTTGGCGTTTTCTCCTGACAATTCCTTCCTTCCTTCCTGTGTAATTATATCTTTCTGATTGAGGTCAGTGGAAAAAAATCAAAGGAAACTAAATTCAGAAATAACAAAATTAAAACTAAAAAAAAAAAAAACATGTATTAGAGTAAACTCACTCGGGCAAACACATCCGACCCAAGCAACAGCTGACTGGAGACACTCGGTGTTGCCAGTGTGTTGGCTTTTGTGAGCTCAGGTGTGCCTCCGCCCACCTGAGGGCCCTTCGCAACACACGTGTGCCTGGGCCCACCTGACGGATCCTTCGCGACACACCTGTGTGTCACGGCCCACCCGAGGGCCTTCCGGAACACACCTGAGGGCCAGTCGGGACACAGGAATGTTGTGAAGGGTAGGGGGGGGGGAGTGCACAATAAACTACCGCTCACAGGATGAGTATGGAATACACAATCAACTTTGTGTGGTGGCAACATTTAAACATTTCTTGAATATTAGTGATTAAGTTTACCCATTTCATTAAATAACTAGAAAAGGTGAATAGTTTTCCTGACAAAATCTACATTTGGTCAGATCTACATCAGCAAGTAATGCAAACTGGCAGAGGTGTTTACAG